TTATTTAAGGGATTATGATCCAACCAACTGATCCACACCAGCTTGGGCTGGAGACAGTTTTGATGGTCGCACCCACAGGGTGCTCCTGACATCTAGTGGACATACTTAGTGATGCTGTGGTAAGCATTATACAATGCTCAGGACAGCTTCCCGCAACAGAGTTATCCAAAGTCAATGGTACCAAGGCTGAGGAAAAACTGTGACTGATACCCATCTCCTGCACCACTTATTATTACTGAATATTCAGTGTTTCAAGCTGATTTTAAATCAGTTGGATGTTTCACTTTTTTTCTCTATTGCTATGTTTTACATATTTACAGTAGGAATTCAAAAGACAACACTATTTATAGATTTTCCCAAGAATCCAAACATTCCAACAGTTGAAAAAATGAGATTGGTATTCAAGTTCCATGTAGCAAGGCGCTAATGTCACCCATCATGAACTTCAAAATCACCTTTCTTTCCAACATTGAGGTTGGGGGGCCCATTTCCAGAGATGATTTGAATTACTCTGGGATGGGGCCTCGTTGGTATTACTCTAAAAGCTTCCCTCAGTGAGTCTAGTGTGAAGTAGCGGTGAGATCCCATAGCTGTCCCTAATCAGTTATTAATCAGATGGGGAAGGCAAGGCACATAGCGATGATGTGGCCTGAACATTTCCCTGAATGCATGGATAAACCTGTTTTATTTATTCAGAAGTTTGTGTGCAGAACTTTCTGACTGGTTTGGGGTGGGGTAAACAGAGTAGGGGTAAAGCTGTTGCTGAGTTGTGAAACTGCCAGTCTTTGTTGAGCTGTCTTCCAGAACAAGGACGCATCCTGGAAGCTGAGCACCAGACTGCCCCTGTGCTGGAATCACTCAGCCTTGGCATGTAGTGGCCTGTCCCTCCTGATGCATATGTGTCCCCAGTCCCAGGAAAGGTGATTCCCCTTGTCTACTCGGGGAAACACTGCTTTGGGGGCTATCCCCAGTGCTGTCCTTACTGCTGGAAGTAAGAACCCCCCTTTGCTCATAGAGTGCCTTGGTGGACATTCACTGGGCTGCACCAGAGGAGCCCAGTATGCTCAGTAACAATGTCTCAGGGGAAACTTGTAACTGGTGAGGGCTGAGATGAGAGATGGACTGGGCAGGGGGACTGAGCAGAAATTTCTTAGATCTAGCAGTGAGTTCGATTAAGTGTTTCTGAGACAAGAATATTCTTGCAGGTGTTCCTCATACTTGGCGTATTCCCTTCATTCCTGGTCTAGGTGGATTGTTTATTTCTTTCAAGCTGAAACCCAAAGGGACAGTATCCTGGTCACTTAATTGGGAGTGCCTTATATGATATTATAGATTTATATTATCCTAGATTCCTTCCACATATATGAGGCTAACTGAAGATGGGGCTGCTTTTCTCAAGTGCTTTTTTCCTGTGCCATCCTCTGGAATCCAGCCATCAGCCTTTAGTATGAGCACCAAGGAGCTAAAGTTTGTTGGGGACCGCCCTGCTTGGTATCAGAAGCTGTAACCCCCACCAAGGCTAAGGCTGAGGGAGTGGCCTTGGACCTTAAGCCAGGAAGGACACAAAAGAGCTTATCTCCCTGGCAGGAGTGCTGCTTCTGCTCCTTCATTCATAACTGAACCCCAATGCTTGGTCAGTTAGCCAATGATGGGTAAGATTCCCCAAGGGGGGAACGAGCTAAGACAGGCACGATCATGTGGGAGGCCCCCAAGAAAGGACTTTGGGGGCTACAGCAAAAGGGAGTGATGGACCCTCGCTCCTCAGCTTTGATGTAGCCTGAGTCCTCTTCATCTGGGAGAAAATCTCCTTATCTCTTGGTTGCCTTAGTTCCCTTGCTCCACCTAAGCCTAAAACAATGACAGGGTGGTGCAGCTCTGTGCTGAAAAGGGCAGGTTCCCCAAGTGATCAGGCCTAAGAAAGAATATGTAAAATTCTGTGAAGCCTGCTTTGTTTAGAATGCTCTCAGTTGAATGATAAGGGTCCAAGAAAAAAGTAAGTTTGTTCCTCAAAGTTTTATAGCTCTTTGACCCTGACTCAAAATACGCCCTCAGACTTCCTTGTTATCTATTGTTTCATCCTTACTTCCTAGCAATGAGTAATGAGCTTTACCTGAATTCTTATGCAAACGAAACCATTAAAAAGCCTCTCCCCACTACAGAGAGGTAAGGGAAGTCTGATTGTTTCCTACTTCCCCACAGGACCTGGTTATCTCTGTGTATGTTTTTCTAGTGTGTTGACAAGCACACAGGTGGGCACGCATCAGAAGTTTTCTTTTAGGGTCTGAGGCAGATCTGCTTTCCAACCCTGGCCACTTACTGGGCTTTTGCAGCACTAGGCATGCCCCTCAGTATGGCCCCAGGTCCAGTCATTGGTAATCTGCTTTCATACAATTCAGGACTCCCTGGAAACCTCAAGACACGTCACTTGGTCCTCCTTCTTTGACTCTTAATGTTACAGAACAGACGGGGGGGGGGGGGGGCCTGGGACGATATACTATTATTTAAAAGGCCCCCAGGTCTGTCATGTCCACCGCCAGAGGAAAGACGTCTCTCAATGCCAGAGATTCGTGAAAAGGAAAGGAAATGTTTATTTAATGCTGTACAGACTTCAAGTAGTGACCTAATGTCTTCATCAAAATCCCAAAGTCCCTTAAAACACCCACAAACAGACACAGTCCTTCCTTCCTTCCCCCTTTGCCCAGTCCAGAGTACCGTATCTCAGGAAAGGAAATAGAAGTCCATGGCTCAGGCAGTCCTCTGGTTCTTAGTTAGTCTTCCATCTCGACTGGGAGACCTCCCTGGGTACCCGGCACCCTCAGCTGAGTTGCCGGGATCTCTGCTAAAACCAGGTGGTGGTTCCCCCTTCTAAAGCTGCGGGGGTCCCCACTCTGGCACAGGCACGTGGTCCTCTCTCCCAGAGCCACGGGAGTTTCCACTCTGTCAAGGCTGTGTGGTTCTCCCTCTCTGGGATGCAGGAGTCTCCACTCTGCTAAAGCCACGTGGTTCTCTCTTCAAATGGCCACACGGTTCTCCTTCTCAGGGCTGCACATGGCTCTCCTTCTCAGGGCTGTTCATGGCTCTCCTTCTCAGGGCTACGCATGGTTCTCTTTTCAATGGCCGTGATCCTCTCTGCACCTCCACAGCCACATGGTTCTCCTTCAGGGCTGCGGGAAGGGAGAGTCCTCACTCTGCTAAAGCCGTGTGGTTCTCTCCTCAATGGCCACCAAGTCTGGGTTTTAAATCCCCGCGGCCAATCTTCCTCTGCAGCCTCATTTCCGACTCCTCCCACACTCGGCTTCACATGCCGGAACTCGTATCCTTCCAGCTTTACTGGGCTGCCATCTTGAGTCTGGGCAGGTGTGGCCCCATGTCCTGGAGCCAATCTTCTCCGAGCTCCCAGGCAGGCGCTGTAGCTTGGGGGATCTGCCCCCAGTCACGTGTTGGTGGGGAAGATATTTCCATTCCCCTGGCTCAGAGATGATCACGCCTTTTTAACATATCTAAGCGACCAGCCAAAGGCTATAGATATGTTAAATGACCATGCCAGAGGGTAGCTGCAAGGCTGTTGCTATGCAAAACAGCTCTCAATGGCCTTGCTCCATTTGTCCCTTCCCCCAACCCACACACTGGGTGGGGGGATGGAGACATCTTAAAATCTCCTGGACACCTTAAGTTCTGGACCCCATTTCAAATGCCCATTTGGGGTCCCCCCCCTCTTGGCTGCACCCTGTAACATTAATGGTGAAGCTGTGGACATGAGATGCCATCAGAACTTTCCATCTTTTGTCTCAAATTCTCTATATGTTCAGCTCAATCTCTTGATGGTGTTCTCTGTGGCTAAACTTCCCTTGTTCTTATTGTTTTCAGGCCACATGGAAGAACGTGGCTGACCACTGTACACACATGTGTATGCTACAGGTCCAACACTAGCCAGTGTCTGCTTTCCAGAAAGGCAAATCTGATTGTCCCCTCTCAATAAGCACTTCCCTGTGACAAGATCAGCTGTGGTTTAGTATTAGCTTGTGTTGCAAACCTGCTGGGGAATCTTCACTTTTCTATAGTATCAGGAGAGTGAAGCAATTTCCAATCAAAAATAGGGAGAAAGAGGACCTGGGCAGGCAGCAGTAATAGGAGACGCACCTGTACCCAGAATCGCAGTCTTAGCACCTATTTTTCTCCACCTCTCACTACAAACACCACGGGTACAGAAGATAACACTGCCCAGGTTGATGGAGACCAAGCCCAGGTGCCATGGGCACCCAGAGGACTGGACAGAGCTCTAACACACTGCGCCAACCACATCTGCTGAACAAGGACACATTACATAACTACAATAGAGACCATTAAAAATAAGAAAATATTATCATTGGGGACTAACATGTTTTGTTTAAAGTCTCAAGATGGTAGCACATGCATTTCTCTGTCCCTCAGTATACTGAGAAGGAGATTGTGGGCCTCTTATTGTCATTGATTCTCCAGAAGGGTGTGCAAAGGCACAGAATGATTAGGAAGACATAGCTTCGCTCTGAGAAAATAGGAGCGAAGTTGGCTTAAGGCTCCAGTTTAGAGACTGGCAGAATTGTATACCATAAAATGAGCAAATTCTGTTTCCAGATGAGCACACAGGCACAGATCTGAGCATGACCTTGGCAAGTTCACACAGCCGATTGTCACAGGGTCCCTGGCTCCAGGGTCAGCAGACTGGGCATGACTGGCATCTCCTAGCTCCCAGGCTTCCATAGGCTGGGTATAGACTGTGAGATGGAATTCACATATCATGAAAACTGTTCTTCACCATCTTCTCCACAATAATTTTCGAAACTAAAGGCAGCAATCACTCTTTCAGTTTCATTTTGTCCTGGCAAAGGGCATGAATTCTGACTGTGGTCAGTTTCACTTTCCAGTTGCGGTTTTCCACCTTGGTTTCTGAGTTGTCCTTGCAATGACACACCCACAGGTTACCTGATTAGTTGCTGTTTCCCTTCCTTATATATCCCTGCCCTGAGGCATAAATGCATTGGAAAATCTCCAGCACAAGCTTGCAGATCTCAGAGCAGCCCATCCACCAAAGCAACCATAGTGCACCTGCACCCTGGTTCATAGCAGCAATGAGGTAGGTGTTTCCTGCTTCTCTGCCTTTCTGCCTAAGGTTCTGAAAAGCAAATGTTAATCATTACTATCTGAACAGACTTCATTTCAATGATGTCAACTTTCCTCATTCTTCTGTTTGGGCCTCTGCGTGTGCACTGAGGTGTGTTTGTGCACATTCAACACACACAGAAACTGTTATATTAATTCAGGTGTTTTCATTTTTGTTAGCATCACCCTGAGGAAGCTTACCTCATGTTAAAGTCTAAAAAGTGAGGGAAATGGCAAACAAATTGTAGTGTTTATGAGAGTTACAGAATTCTTTGGAGAGATGGAGGAGACAGAGTGACTGTAAAGGGATAATATAAGGGAGATGTTTGTGGTGATCAGAGAGCTCTGTATCTTCATAGATGTGCTGGTTCCCGGTATTTATTCATGTGATAAAATGATATAGAACTATACACACATTCTACCAATTTCAATTTCCAAATTTGATATCATACTATAATTGTGTAGCATGTGATCATGGGGAGAAACTTGGTGAAGGGAGCACTGAAACTGTGCTCCCTTTGCTTTCTATGACTCTATAATTAAGTCCAAATAATATATGGAAAAAATAATTGATCAACATTATCTCTTTTACATGGTCTTATTTTCTTTCATAATCTGCAGACTAAGGTTCTGAAGTTCCACATTTGTACCTGAGCTCTGTCGAAATTATATTAACAGGAAAAAAGAAAAACCTTTTTAAAAAATTATTTCTTGATTTTAAGAGAGAGAGAGATCAGTTTGTTGTTCCACTTATTTATGCATTCATTGGTGGCTTCTTGTATGTGCCCTGACCAGAGATTGAACCAGCAACATTGGTGTATCCAGCCAATGTTCTAACCAATTGAACTACCTGGTCAGGGCCAGGAAACTCTTATTTAGCACATAATGTGCTCTAAGTACTTTGCACATGTGGCTTATTACTCCTCACTAAACCCAGTGTCATAAGAACTATTACTATCCCTATTTTATAAATAAGACATTGAAGCACAAAGAGGTTACTTGGAGAAAAAGTGCTGGAGCCAGCGGGTGGGACCAAGCAAATTGCATTCAAACTCCATACAGGTCTTAGAAATACAGTTGACCCTTGAATAAGGCAGAAGGTAGGGATGCCAAGCCCAGCTCCCACCCCCATCCCCACACAGTTGAAAACTCACTATAACCTTAAAGTCAGCAGTCAGCCCTTTGTATTCATAGATTCAACCAACCACAGATCAAACACAGTAGTATTTTCAAACCACAACTGGTTGGTACCTTGTAGGTGAAACCCCTGATAGGAAGGACTGATTATATAGAAACTAATCCAAGTAGATATAAATGGGCATAGTCAATACAAACTCATGTTGCTCAAGGGTTAACTATAGAGCAACTCTAAAAGAGAAAGAAAGAAAAAACATCAATGTAGCTGTGTCCCTTTCTAGGCTAAGCTATAAATGTAAAGTAATCAATCTGGCTTATTTCCATTGGCAGTGCCTCACTTAACACAGAAAATCTGCTTGTATTTTCACAGTAAGAATACTGAGGAAGATCAGCTCAAAGATAGGCTGGAGCAGCTGAGATGCCATTTTACATGGAAGTTGCAAATTAAAGATGCTGAAATGACTGATTTAGAAAACAGGGTCTTCGATGAAATTGAGTTCCTAGACACAGAATGTAGTGTGGTGATGCACAACCTACTGTCCTATATGAAACACCTGAAAGGCCAGAATAAGGAAGCCCTGCAGAGCTTGAAACAAGCTGAAGACTTGATACAGAAAGAACAGGATGATCAAGCACACGTAAGAAGACTGGTTACCTGGGGCAACTATGCCTGGCTGTACTACTACATGGGCAGACTGGAAGAAGCCCAGATGTATTTGGACAAGGTGGAAAGCATTTGCAAGGAGTTTGCCAGCCCCTCCTGCTACACAGTGGAGAGTCCACACATGGACTGTGAGGAAGGATGGGCCTTGCTGAAGTGTGGAGGAAAGAACTATGAACGGGCTAAAGCCTGCTTTGAGAAAGCTCTGGAAGTGGACCCTGAACACCCAGAATTCAATGCTGGGTATGCAATTGCTGCCTATCGTCTGGATGGCTCCAAGAAACCATCTCAGACCCTACACACCCTAAAACAGGCCCTCAGGCTAAATCCAGAGGATGCTTATATTAAAGCTTTCCTTGCTATGATGCTTCCAAATACAGGACGAAAAGCTGATGGAGAGAAGTACATCAAAGAAGTGCTGTTCAGCACATCTTCCCACACCTGTGTCTTTCGATTCGTGGCCAAGTTTTACAGAAGAAAAGACTCCTTAGAGAAAGCTCTTCGGTTCTTAAAAATGACTTTGCAGGCAACACCCTCCTCTGCCTTCCTGCATCACCAGGTAGGGCTTTGCTACAAAACACAAATGATTCAAATAAAGAAAGCTAACAACTGGAGGCCCAGAGGAAGAGATAAAGAAAATGTTCACAGATTGGTTCGGATGGCTATATGGGAATTTGAAAAGGCTTTGAAGCTACAGCCCACATTTCATCAGCTGTATATTGAGCTAGCTGAGATGTATGCAGAACTGGGCCACCACAGAGTGGCTGAGGACACTTTTGAGAAACTGTTGAGCATGGGGGTCAATGATGATTATCTACAGCAACAGATTCATTTCTCCTATGGCCGATTTCAAGAATTTCACATGAAATCTGAACTCAATGCAATTAGCCATTATTTAAATGTAATAGAAATAGAAACCTCATCATTTACAAGCAAGAAAAGTTTCACTGCTTTGAAGAAATTGGTTTTAAAGAGCTGTCAAAGAAATGGAGAAAACACACTAAAGTTGAGAATCCTTGGGTTGATCTACAAATTTCAAGGAGAAACGAAAAAAGCCATGGAGTGTACCCTGCGGGCCCAGAGTCTGGCTACTGAGAAAGAACTGTGTGGGATGTGACCCTTAGGTGGTCAAATATGGACCACTTTTACATTTCATCTCATTTTAGGTTAACCTGTACTTACCATCTTTTCTATGCTGCTTTCAGAATCATGTAATTTTTAACAATACTCACACCTGATCAAATATTACTTGTGTTCAGAAAACAGTGAAACAGATTATATATGTCTCTGTGTCAGAGAGGAAGAGAGACATAAACCATTTCATGGCAATGTTATGTAGTAGAAATAACAGTTTGTTAAGTCGATCTGCTGCAAGTGAAACACTGTACCTGCCTAAAGTAAAATCATTCATTTTGTCAACAAATAGTTTTCAGTCCTAGATCCCAAACATATTATGGTGATATAAGGAATTTATTTTTCCTCTACCCATCTTAGGTGTCTTGAGTGAGGTCCCACAAATTAGACTGGGAAAAGAGTGATTAACCAGAGAAAAACAAACAAAAGTTTATTAACCTTTGCAGCCCCCCCACACACAAGGCACTACCTAGTGATGACTAACTAGGTATTTAAAACTTGGGCATATATAGCATCTTAACAAAAGAACAATAAACATTTACAGAAGTGATAAGATAAGGGAAAAGAAGTTTGGGTATGTAGGTGGAGAAATGTAGGGAGGTATATATATGGGGAAAACTACCTGAAGATAGCTGCTAATTGCCAAGGTTTGTTGTGCAGATTCCTTTGATGGAGATCTGGAGGTGTTTCAGGAGATGACCCTCTGTCTGGATAGAAGAGGGAGGAGGAACACCTGTAGGAGATTGTGCCCTGCTTTTTAGGCAGATAGGGAGGTAGCAGAGCTCATCTTCTGTAGTTCCCTCTACCCATTCCAGAAGTAAAGCATTTCTATGAAATCTTTTGTAAGTGAAATGATATGAAGAAAAGACATAATGACCTTAGGGGTCATTTTGCAAATGAAATTGCGCTAGGGGACAGAGGCTCACGGACACAGCTCACAGCCACGGCAGTTTCCCGCTGAGCTGCGGAGTGTAGCTCCTGGGGAAGGAGCTCAGTGGCTGGGGTAGGGCACAGCCTCTAGAGAGGCTCTGTGCAAAATAAACAATGAGCATTATTCTTTTTGCCTTTTTTTTCACAAAGTGAAAAAGAAAAACTTTTTGGAAAGTTTCTATTAGAAAAACAGGTAAGAATGTATGTCTTTCAAAAAAATGAAGGGGCATGATGCAAACTTTTGAAGAGTGGGGATCTTTTAAAAAACGCCAATACCTACATCTGCTTCTCCTCAGTTGCCTACAGCTTAAAATAATACACATGCCAATGTGGCATACTTTGAAGTGGCACATTTTGCTCCCCTTCAGGGAGTAAACCTGACATTTCAGACATTTTCTTCAAACCTATGCAACTTACATCTAATGACAGAACTGACAGTAAATCATGTACAACTCACGTGTTGCCTGTTAGGAGAGATAGAGGAGATCCAAGATGGTGGAGGAATAAGTGGAAACTACACTACCCTCCCAGCAACAATCTGGAATTACAATGAAGTTGCAGAGAAATCATCCTGAATAACCAACCAAACTCTAGCTGGAGAGAAGCCTTATAACCAAGGACAGACGGAAGAAACCATTTGACAGCAATGTGACTAGTAGAGAGTGAGAAGGAGGCACCAGAGAGCTGGTTGGACTCCCACAGCTGGCAGCTGAAGCCCCAGAGATCTATTTCAATGGCTGGGGGTTCCCCCTGAGACCTGTGGGGTCTGAACCTCAAGATGGGCACTCCAGGCTAGAGCACCAGAGCCAGAAAAGGAGCCCAGATAACTTCTAGCTGTGAAAAGAAGTGGGGTTGCTGTCTGCCAGGGAAAGACTACTGAAGACACAGCCTCTTAAAGCACCAACACACAACATTTCATTTGCAGCCACTTAACCTGGGCTCCAGCAGAGGGACCGCAGAGTGAACTAGAATCACTTGAGGAGACTATGTTTAGTGGTTCTGGGGAGAGAACTGAAGGAACAGACAGCAGGATCCCTGTGCTGAGTCATCCTCCATACTGCAGAATCCATCATGGGCGGAGCATTACCTTCCAAGTGGCATCAGCACAAGGGGAAGCTACAGCCCCACCTGGAAGAATTACTCTGCTCTACCCTGTGAAGCTTAAGTCATGCTGCTGATTACAGTTTGAGGCTATATCAATACTCAGTTTAACAACTAAGGTAGATCTCTGGGAGGTCTGAGATTTTTAGCTGACACCCACCCTCCACCTGGCCTGCTGCACATGTAAACCAGCTTTGGTGTGAAGTCTGGTTCTTTCTGCATGCCCAGGCCCAGCAGAGGGAGCCACAAGCTGTAGATTGCTGAGAGTTCCAAACAGTTTTCCTAGGGCCAGTCATAGGCAGCATCTGACAAGGACCTACACGACAGTCTTTGCAGATATAACTAATACATAGAAACAAATACAGAAAAGAAGCCAAAATGCAAAGACAAAGAAACAGATCCCACATGCAAGAACAAGAGAATTCTCCAGAAGGACTAGATGAAATGGAAGCAAGCAATTTGTCAGATAGAAATTCAGAGTAATGATTATAAGTCTATTCAACAATATGAAAAAGACATAGAAACAAACAGATGAAAAGACTAGTCAGAAATAAAGCATGCAATATCTGAAATAAATAATACTCTGGAAGGAATAAAAATTAGGTTACACGAAAGAGAGGGCTGAATCAGTGGTTTGAAAAACAAGGAATAAAAAAGCACCTAGGCAAAACAGCAAAGAGAAAAAAAGAATTTTTAAAAAATGAGGAAAGGTATACTTCCAACCAAGAGGGAGGCATAGGTAGACATGTTCCACTTCCTTGCACAACCAAAAGAAGGACAACGGCCAATTTAAAAACAAAAAAAACAACCAGAACTGCCAGAAAATCACAATTCCATGGAAGTCCAACAACCAAGGAGTTAAAGAAGGATCATTCATCCAGACTGGTAGGTGGGACAGAGACAGGCAGACAGGGCAGAGAAGTCACAAGGCAAGGTGGCAGCTAGCAGACCAGGTGGTCCCACATTCATGTGCAGATAACCTAGGAGGAACATCTGGGGAGCAAGACACTGTGCAACCCATGGGTTTAAAAACGTGTGGGGTTGCAGTGGTGGGAGAAACTCCCAGTCCCATAGGAGAGTCTGCTGGAGGCGATCCATGGGGTCCTAGAACATACACAAGCCCACCCACCTGGGAATCAGCACCGGAAAGGCTCAATTCACTTGTGGGTAGCAGGGGAAGTGACTGAAAGCAGGCCAAGAACTGAGCAAGCAGCATTGTGTCTTCTCTGAACTCTCTCCCACACACAGTGCCATAATGCAGCAAATTATATTGCCCTGCCCTGGGGAATACCTAAGGCTCTATCCTTCACAATTTAACAGGTACACCAAGACAAAGAAAGATGACCCAAATGAAAGAACAGATCAAAACACCAGAAAAAGAACTAAGTGATGAGGAGATGGCCAACCTATCAGATGCAGAGTTCAAAATACTGGTAATCAGGATGCTGATGGAAATGATTGAGTATGGACAGAAAATACAGGAATAAGTGAAGGCTATGCAAAATGAAATGAAGCAACATATACAGGGAACCAACAGGGAAGGGGAGGAAACCAGAACTCAAAGTAATGATTTGGAACAGAAGGAAGAAATAAACATTCAACCAGAACAGAGTGAAGAAATAAGAATTCAGAATAAAATGAGGAGAGGCTTTAGGAACCTCTGGGACAACTTTGAACATTCCAACATCTGAATCATAAGTGTGCCACAAAGAGAAGAGGAAGAACAAGAAATTGAAAACTTATTTGAACAAATAATGAAGGAAATTTTCCCAATCTTGTGAAGGAAACAGACATGCAAGTCCAGGAAGCTCAGAGAATCCCAAAGAAGTTGGACCCAAGGAGGAACATGCCAAGGCACATCATCATTACATTAGCCAAGATTAAAGATAAGGAGAGAATCTTAAAAGCAGTAAGAGTAGAGGAGAGAGTTACCTACAAAGCAGTTCCCACTAGAGTAACAGCTGATTTCTCAAAAGAAATCTTGCAGGCAAGAAGGGGCTGGAAAGAAGTATTCAAAGTAATGAAAGGCAAGGACCTACATCTAAGATTACTCTATCCAGGAAGGCTATCATTTAGAATGGAAGGGCAGATAAAGTGCTTTCCAGATAAGCTCAAGTTAAAGGAGTTTATCATCACTAAGCCCCTATTATATGAAATGTGAAAGGGACTTACAAAGAAAAAGAAGATTAAAAAATATGAACAGTAAAATAACAACAAACTCACAACTATCAACAACTAAACCTAAAGAACAAAAACAAACTAAGCAAACAATTAGAACACAAAATCACAGAAATGGAGATCACATGGAAGATTTCAGTGGGGAGGGCTGAGGAAAGAAAGGAGGAAAAGGTACAGGGAATAAGAAGCATAATTGGTAGGTACAAAATAGACAGGGGGGTGTTAAGAATAGTATGGGAAATGGAGAAGCCAAAGAACTTATATGCATGACCCATGGACACAAACAAGTGGGGTGTAATGCTGGGGGCAGGGGTGTGCAGGGCAGAGAGGAAGAGAGGGGAGAAAAGATGGGACAAGAGTAATAGCATATCAATAAAATATACTTAAAAAAATAAAATGTTAGGCTGACAATGTCAAAACAATATCTAAAAACTAAATCAAAGAAGATAAATAAATAAAGCAAATATACCAAAATATATATAGGCTAGATGATAAAAACATACAGAGAGGAAGCATTGCAGCTGACTTTTCATGAACTATAATTGGACTCTAAATCTCTAAAAGAATGTAACTTTTACCAACACACACCCTCCCAAAAAAATCGTAAACTCTACACAGCAATCATTTTGAAGGTGTTTTGTGGTTTTGTTATTTTGAGACTGTTGTTAGTATAGTGGAATAGATGGTATTAACACTGGTATCACTTACAAAAGAGAAATTCAGTTTGGAAGAAATGATACACAGATATGAGATAATTAGGTTAATAAAAATATGGTAAACTTGGGTTTGTACCTGAAGTCATGATCAAGTTTATCTTTCAAATATACACCAAGTACCAATGTCATTTTCCTGATTGTGATATTCTGCAATAGTTATATAAGTTGTGATTCTTGCCAGGGCCGCATTGGGGGAAGTGAAAAGTACACAAGACTCTTCCTGCAACTTCCCTTAAATCTACTTCTGCTCCAAAATATGCCTGAAATATAGAAGTAGTACTGATGAAAATTCACTCAGTGCTTGGGTATATTTCAGTGAGCCCAACTGTGGGTCAAGATGGACCCTTGAGACCCATGAGAAGATATGAAAATCATCAGACGATTCATAAGGAGGGACGTCTGGTGTTTTTAAGTCTGGTGTTTCTACATGGATATGATGGGAAATATTTGGGAATAACCACAAAGCTAAGTGCAAACTTTTTTTATAGGGGTGAGAACACTCAGGATTCCATTCTTTTCCCACCCAACCCATGGATATGAAAGAGACACTGTGCAGCTCAGGAAAGGAGGAAGAGTGGTGGAGATACCGGACCTGGGCCTCAGAGAAAGGGAAGCATGTCCAGGAATTGAGTCCCAATCACTCACGCAGGGAATCTCCCTCACACAATAGACACCAGGAATCAGCAAGGCCCTGGTGTCTGCCATCATGTACTTCAAAATCACCTGAGGGTTTCTTTCCAACATTGAGGTTGTGGGGCCCATTTCCAGAGATGATTCCAATTGGTCAGAGATTGGGCCTAGTTAGCACTACTCTAAACCTCCCCCTACACCCAGATAATTCTCCTGTGCAGGAGTGGTGAGATCCCCCAGCCTGCTCCAGTCAGATGGGGGAGGTGAGGAACATAGCAGTGATGTGGTGTATCATTACTGGTGAGTCACTCGGGAAGTGGGACCTAGCCATACTTCTGGGACTTGCTTCAGCCCTGTGCTCATTTTTATTTTCTAAAAATTTCTTGGTTTTTTTCCCTAACTGTAAATACACACACACACAGTCTTTTTTTTTCTCTCTCTCTCTCTGTAATGCTTATCTGTCTTCTGTCACTCACAAGTGTGCTTATCCCAAAGATGCACTGGAAGGGATTCCAAAGTTCCAATCCACCTGAGGCAGAGCCCCATGGAACCAAGATGACTGCCAGTTTGTAGCAATAACAAGAGAAATGCTTTGTCTCTCTGCCTTCCCTCTAATGCATTGGAAAATTACAACCCCAACTGCTTTTGTCCCCTAGAATTCCAAAGACACCTTGTTGCCAAAAAGGAAAGTTTCTAACTCATTAATTTCAGCATTTGTTTACAGCCTGAACATTCCCCTGAATGCATGGATAAACCTGTTTTATTTATTCAGAAATTTGTGTGCAGAACTTTCTGACTGGTTTGGGGTGGGGTAAGCAGAGCAAGGGTAAAGCTGTTGCTGAGTTGTGAAACTGCCAGTCTTTGTTGAGCTGTCTTCCAGAACAAGGACGCATCCTGGAAGCTGAGCACCAGACTGCCCCTGTGCTGGAATCACTCAGCCTCGGCATGTAGTGGCCTGTCCCTCCTGATGCATATGTGTCCCCAGTCCCAGGAAAGGTGATTCCCCTTGTCTACTCGGGGAAACACTGCTTTGAGAGCTATCCCCAGTGCTGTCCTTACTGCTGGAAGTAAGAACCCTCCTTTGCTCATAGACTGCCTTGGTGGACATTCACTGGGCTGCACCAGAGGAGCCCAGTATGCTCAGTAACAATGTCTCAGGGGAAACTTGTAACTGGTGAGGGCTGAGATGAGAGATGGACTGGGCAGGGGGACTGAGCAGAAATTTCTTAGATCTAGCAGTGAGTTCGATTAAGCGTTTCTAAGGCAAAAATATCCTTGCTCTTCTTCCATTCCTCCTCTGTTCCTTTTTTTAAGAGACAAAGTATAGAGACCTTTATTTTTAAAGAAAATATTACTTTCACTTGAAGAATTAAAATCATCATCATCATCATCATCATCATCATCTGATCACCTCTTATTTGCATGCTTATATGTGCCAGGGAGTTCCTAATGATTAAACTCAAGCTCTGTCAATTAGAGTTAATGTTAATGTTAATGTTACCAGAGAAACCCGAGTCAGGGGCTTCCTGGCCTCAGCTCTTGCCTTGCTAGCAAGAAATGAATTCAAGAGAGAAACAGACACATCATGTGGAATGAAATAGCAAGTGTACTTATAAAATATAGCAGAATTCAGGTAGTAAGTTTGTTAGTGAATTTATTCTATACCCTTAACCGAGGCTACAAGTGGGCACTCAGCTAATCTGAGTGCTCCAACTATTGGGGTTCTGGGGTTATATACCTTAGTCATCTTCTAGGTTTCCACTTCCTTCTCCACCTTCCAGACCTTTCTTACAGTTGCAGAGCATTCTCTCCCATGGGAGTGACGCACACAAAATTTGAAGGGCCCCCTCCTCTTGTGCCATCACAGTTATGCATGTGATTCTGTGAATGCCACACCCTGCTTTATTTCCCCTCTGGCCACTCTTTCCTGGCTTCTACCTAACATTAAGTTACAATTTCACTCAGAATGTGGGAATGCATATTAGAGCAATAGAGGATTCCCTCTGGCAAACAACAGCACCTTGCTTTTTGCCTCTGCACAGGGATCAGAGATCAAGAAATTCTCCTGGGTCCCTGGCTGAACAGCTCCGTTTGTCTCAGCATCGCCTGATGAATCAATATTGTGGGCTGATTCCCAATCAAGGTGCTACAGGTCCAACACTTGCCAGTGTCAGCCTTCCAGAAAAGCAAGTCTAATTTTTTGTTTCAAGTCTCCAGATGGGAGCACATACATTTCTCTGTCCCTCATTATACTAAGGAATAGGTTATGGGCCTCTTATTGTCATTGAATCTCCAGAAGGGTATGCAAAGGCACAGAATGATTAAGAAGACATAGCTTCGCTCTGAGAAAATGGGATCAAAGTTGGCTTAAGGCTCCAGTTTAGAGACTGGCAGAATTGTATACCATAAAATGAGCAAATTCTGTTTCCAGATAAGCACACAGGCACAGACCTGAGCATGACCTTGGCAAGTTCACACAGCCAATTGTCACAGGGTCCTTGGCTCCAGGGTCAGCAGACTGGGCATCACTGGCATCTCCTAGCTCCCAGGCTTCTATAACCTTGCTTGGTACAGACACTGAGAGAGGGATTTACCTATCACCAAAACTATTATTCACCATCTTCTCCTCAAAAAAAAAAAACAAAACTTTGTTTCAGTTTGCCCCTGAAGGGAGCAGGAACACCGACTATGGTTAGTTCCATTTTACAATGTTTTTTTCCACCTTCGTTTCTAAGTTTTTCTTGCAATGACCCGCCCAAAGTTTTCCTAATTAGTTTCTGTTTCCCTCCTTTATATATCCCTGTTCTTGGGCTTAAGGTTATCTGAAAAATCTACAAGGCAGGCTGGCAGATCTCAGAGAAGCCCATCCAGCAAAGTAAGCACAGTGCAACTGCTGCCTGATTCACAGCAACAATGAGGTAAGGGTTGCTTGCTTCTCTGTCTTTCTAACTTTTTGAACAAAATGTTCATCGTTACTGTCTGAACAGACTTAGTTTCCATGATGTCAAGCTTTCTCACACTTCTGTTTGGGCATTTGTGTGTGCACTGAGTGTGCACATTCCTACACACACACAAACGGTTTTATTACTTCAGGCATTTTCATTTTTGTTAGCTTCGTCCTGAGGAAGCTTACCTCATGTTAAAGCCTAAGAAGAGGAGGGAAAGGGCAAAGTTATTTTGCGGGAGAAGATGATCCCAATCTCTGATGTTACTTTCCACCAAACTCACCTCTGTCTGACATAAGGAGGCAAGGTCCAGTTGGTCGGGATAGAGACACTGCTTTTAGAGGCTCCTCACCATGGAGGAGCTGCAGGACTACACAGCCAAGGGACCCACAGTGGAGAGGTCGTCAGATGTGTGGGGGAAACATTGTGGGGATGTGGTGGGAAAGCTCACTGCCTAGAAAACAAGCCTTCTGTAGGCTTCCTGTCTCCCTCTCTGCATGGCTGAGCTGCTATGGGAGGCCAATCCAGTGAGACTGCATTTAAGATCAGCAGCCAGGTGGTCTGCAGGGTCCCTGATTTCCTCCTGTCCCAGGGGCTTGGCTGGAGTTCTGCACTGGAGAACATCCCTATGCTCCTTAGCTAAAGGACCTAATGTGGGAATTTCTATACTGTCCACACTGAATCTACATTCCAGTAATTCCTGATATCAGCAGATTAAAAAGGAAAGACATTAAAATCAATATTGATCTGCAAATTCCCCCTCAGTGCTCAAATAGGTAAAATTTTGAAGAGGCAGAAGTTTCAGAAAATGCCCAGTGAGAGGCCTTTGAAGGTTGAATAATATTGCCTTGTATGTATATACCGCATTTTGTTTGTCCATTCATCCACTGAAGGACATTTGCGTTGCTTCCACCTTTTGTCTATTGTGAGTAATGCTGTTAGGAATACAAGTATTCAGATACCTGTTTGAGTTTCTATTGTCACTTATTTTGGGTGTATTTCCAGGACTGGAATGACTGAATCCCATGGTAATTGCATGCTTAATTTCCTGAGGAGTCACCACCATTTTCCACAGCAACTGCCCCATTTCACATTCCCACTGCGCACAAGGGTTCTACTGTCTCCATACCCTCACCAAGACTTTACTTTCTGCTCTTCTTATTTTAACAGTAGCCATCCTAATGAGTGTGAAGTGGTGTTGTGTGGTGGTTTTGAGTTGCATTTCACTAATGATTGGTGATGTCAAACATCTTTTCATGTGCTCCTTGGCCATTTGTACATCTTCTTTGGAGAAATTGTCCACTCTCATCCTTTGCCCATTTTTTTAAATCAGGTGTTTCTTTATGGTTGCTGTTGTTCTTGATTTGTAAGTGCTGCTTATATAGTCTGGATATCAATCCCTTACCAGACATGATTTGCAAATAAATTTTCCCATTCTGTGAGTTTTTTCTCTCCATAAATAGTGTCCTTTGATGCATAAAAGTTTTCAGTTTTGAGGATGTCCAACTTATCTATTTCTACTTTTGTTGCCTGTGCTTTTGGTATCATATGCAAGACATCATTGCCAAATACAATGTCCTGGAGCTTTTTCCCCTGTGCTTTCTTCTAATATTTTCATAGTTTTTGACCTTACATTTAGGTCTTTGATCGCTTCTGAGTGCCTTTTGTTGTTCCTTTTGCTGTGAAGTAAGGGTCCAACTTCATCCTTCTGCACGTGAAGATCCACTTTTCCCAACACATTTGTTGAAACACTGATTTTTTCTCTCCATTAAGTGGTCTTGGCACATGTGTCCAAAATCATTTGACTGTTCTTATGGACTAAATTGTATCCCCTCGATCCCTACTTTGAAGCCCTAATCCCAATGTAACTTGATTTGGAAATAGGGCCTGTAAAAAAGGCTAAGTGAGGTCATAAGGGTAGATCCTTATTCCTACAGGGTTGGGGTCCCTGTAAGAATAGGAAGAGCAGTCTTTTACCCACACCATGCACCATGGAGGAAAGGCCATGTGCAGAGGCCAAAAGAGAGTTCTCACCCAGAACCAAAGTGGGCACTTTGATCTAGGATTTCCAGTCTCCACAACTATGAAAATGGACATTTCTTTTGGTTAGACCACCTTGTCTATGGTACTTTGTTATGGTAGCACTCGCTGTTAATACAACCATATGTGAAGGTGTATCTCTGGGTTCTCTCTTCCATTCCACTTCTATATATGCCTGTATATATGCCAGTTCCACACTCTTTTGATTACTATAGCTTGTAGTAAGTTTTGAAATCAAGAAAGTGTTAGACCTCCAACTGTGTGTTTTGTTTTGTTTTTTTCAAGATTGCTAGGCCTATTTGAGATTCCTTGAGATTCCATGTGAATTTTAATTTTTTTTCAAGATTTAATTTATTTATTTATTTATTTTTAAAGACAGGGGAAGGAAGGGAGAAAGAGCAGAAGAGAAACAGCAATGTACAGTTGCTTCTCACTCACTCCACACTGGGGACCTGGCCTGCAACCCAGGCATATGTCCGGCCTGGGAATCAAACCAGCGACACTTTGGTTTGCAGGCTGGCACTCAATCCACTGAACCACACCAGCCAGGGAAGATTCCAGATTAATTTTAAAATGCATTTTTCTATTTCTGCAAAAAAATCATTGGAACTTTGATGGGAATTGCACTGAATGTATAGATTGCTTTGCATGGTATTTATGTTCCAGAAAAAACGACTCAGACGGCCTCGGAGTTTGCAAAGTGGGGTTTATTCATGCATGCAGACCCAGAGGAGATAAATTCCAAATCTGGGCACTGAGCTTAAGCTGGAGTTTGCTTATATTCTTGTTACAAGGCAAAAAGGGGAGGGGGGAACTGCTAAAAGCAAGAATACAGAAGCAGAAAGCGAAGGTTAGTGTATGACCTTGAGATAACTGCTTATCTGGGAAAGGCTACTGTCTGGGAACGGCTGCTGGTCAGCTCCTACCTAAGAATGGCTACTGCTCAGCTATGTCCTGTCACAATCCCCCCTTGATGCTATAAGGTGCTTTTATCCTTTCAGCATCACTAAACGCCTGGCTGTGTGACTGACATCATAGGGAAGCTTGTAACTGCTGATACTGGTATTGGTACTGCTGGAGGACTAACACTTTGGCGGCTGCTTTTTGAGTCACTGTGGCCTCCAGGTGTTGGACCAAGGTCCAGAGGATGCAGGGCCTCAGAGTTATGCCTAGGAGAATTATGAGGATGGGCCCTAGAACAAGCAATATCCATGTTAGCCACGTCTGTGGATTGAATCCAAAATTCTAATCCTCTAGCTCTTGGGCCTGAATTCTAATGTTCTCCTTTGATGTTAACCTTTTTTGCTACTATACCGATTGCTTGACAAAATAGTAACATTCTTCTCCTAGGAACATACATGTTCCACCTTTCTCTGGAGTAATGAGGTCTAAAGCTCTCTGATTCTGAAGGGTTAACTCAGCCAAGGAGTTTATCTGCTGCTGCAGGTGGTCAGGGAATGGGCTACGTTGTCCATATCTTCACTCAGCTGAGCTGACAGCTTGTAGTAAGTGGATGCAGACAATCCCATTGCCCTGAGTCCTGCCCCAACCCCCACTGCAAGATTTGCCCCTATAGCTATGGCGGCCCCTACTTTTCTCTTATGCCGGGAGGCTTACTTCACTTTAGGTTGCAGCAGCTTTCTCATCTCGTTAGGGGTCCGGATACTGATGTAGGGGCTAGGGAGACTTCAATGCAGATCCTGGTCTAATTCTGGGGCAGGCACTTGTAAGCTGCCTTCTCACAGAGAAGGAAGATTCCAGGTTCAGTACAAAGGCTGCTGTTGTTGGGAATATTACGTTGACCAGAGCAGAGCCGGGGGTTGAGCGTTCCCACATCGTTCCTTGGCTCTGTGGTCTGGATTGCCACCAAACAGGTTAAGTTCATCCCCTCAGCATCTAGGAAGACAATGGTAGCTACGGGTCCTTGGATCACGGTAGGACGAGTGTCTATGGTCTTACGAGCCCTGTTCCAGCTTGGGGGCACTGGAACATCCAGAAACCCTTTTTCTTTTATAGGCAAACATACCCAGCATTCTTTTGTGGAGTTAGTAACTTTCTGGTATGCTGCATACATGGTGTGGACCATGTACTGAACTTGGACTGCTGGGCTCACCATCCACCGGGCCTCCTGAAAAGCCGTGAGGTTAGCCCCTTTGTAGATGACTGCTTCTTGGGCCAGCTGGTTTGCTATTTCTCTTGCAGCCTCTTTCTTAGCCTGTTCAAACACTGCCTGGCTCATTGTACTCAGCTGGCGGTAATAGTTCCAACATACTTGTTGGCCAGGGAATCCATGTCCCTGCCACTTTTGGGACTGGTATCCTATAGTTCCTTTTGTTATTCCAGTCTGGTATAATTTCTCTCCCCAAGTACAGAGGAATTGGGGCTGTGGCCAAATGCAACCTGATGGGGTGGAGGTGGAGGAGGTGAAAGCTACAGCTGGAAGCGGGTAGGTCATCACTCCGCCGCCAAGCCTAATCCTACACATGGGGGCACTACATTTGCAGACTGGGGCTGAGATAGACCCTGCATTTGTCAAACAAAGCATACAATATATCCAATTACAGAGACTAAAGAGAGATAAACTACTCCTAGGGCAACTTGTTCCCCGGAACTTCATTCTGCCGGGGTCACAGTCACTAGTCCAATTCCCAACACTCCTGTGAAGATGTCCATTACAGTCAGGAACCCTGCGGAGGAAAGGTCCATTCCCCGGTATCTTCTCTAAAGTTTCCCCTAGCTTCTGGAGATATTTTGTCTGACCTAATTCACCTTGCAACTGGAGTCCCCCCTTTCGTGTGCCGAGAACTGGGGGATGTCTCCCAAAAACTAGTTTATATGGAGTATATCCTGAGGGGTTAGGGGCGTTTCTAACTCTAAGGAAAGCTAGCAGTAGCAAGCCCATCCAGGGCAGTCTGGTTTCCTGGTGAAATTTA